CGCCAATTGTGGCCAATGAATCTTTCTTCATCAATCACAACTGTTGGATCTTCTCCATGTCTTGATAATCTTCAAGACACCTGGCACTGATCAGAACCTTGATCAGATTATGTCATGCATTGACCATCCGATCCTTATGATCTAGTCCACCAGATTTGCCTTGATTGCAACCGTTTGTCACACTTGCTAAATCTGGCCGTCATATCTTCCTAAAAATTCATAAAATAATTTCATCAGTTGTGAAATGAAGATCAAAGGTTTCTTCAACACCACCATTTTTGTGGTCACATACATAGGAATCTAGAAATAATCCCAGAACCAGAAATGAAAAAGGAATTCTTCCTCAAGAGATCCATTTTTTCTATGAGTTCACTAATGTCTGGACTGCTCATGATGATAGTTTGGAAGTGTCATCACAAAAATATCTATTTATTAAAATATCGACTAAACCTATGAAGACAAGTTCAATGAGTAGGGTGAATCACATGTTCTATGTTCAAAGAATACAATATTGTAAGTATTTGTTTGGATATGACTCGTTATGTCTGTGAATGTTCACTTTTTGAAATGCAAGGCATTGCTTTGATGAGGACTAAAATGTATATATCGGGTAATGGTTTTCCAGGGGATTAAGCAATGCATCTAATATGATATTAACTTACCAGAAAATAACTCAGAATATACATGTGTGAACAAAGCATATGATTGTCAACACAATAACACACCAAACATAAAACAGATAAATTGGAAACCTTGGGTTAAGAGAATAGATCATAATTACCTGGCATTGGACATAGAGCCCAGTGTGGTAGTATGCATGGTGCAAACTTCTGGAGATAGTCCTAACACACCTAACATTAAAATGTATTACGACATGCCAGAAGTGTTAAGCCTAGAGCTCTGCCATTTGTGTGAAGGCTTGGGATAGAAAATTAGTCAAATGAGTCGGAAGAGGGTCCTTAGTGGATGATTGTAATTCCTAAGGTTGGACCTGCGCTGCCCACATCTCCTTTCCTTCTCTCCCTCCCTCCTATCACCTCTCTGACATATGAAGGTCCTGCTCATTCCCAATTTTCATGAGTCTAGCTCAGACACCATGTTAAACGGTTGCATGGAATGAGCTAGGTTTAGATTTAGTAAACAACATTTCAGCCGGCCGTGGAATTTGGAAGTCTCGGAGGGCCTGTTTGACCTATTGACATAACTTGAAAGTATATGGCGCTTAATCAATTATTACGCAAGAATTTAAAGAAAAACACAAGATTAAACATAGCATATCTCCTTAGTACACAAGAATGATATGACTGACATCTTTCTATATTTATAGAAGCAAGATCTATGCCTTGATCACTCTTGATTAAGAAGCTATATTACTTGGCTACATTTCTCTTTACACTTCGAGCGCTTTGAAATTTCTAGCAGTAGCACCAGGTTCGCTGAGAGCGTCTTGTTATCAGTCATATCAATTTATTGGTCGGATTAAAATAAGAGAATGGAAAGAATAAAATACGCTTTAGAGAAAATATCATTCTGACAATATATTTTGTTAAAGTTTAGACATGAAAAAGATTAGCATGAGTGAATCACGTTCCTTGTAATGTTACCATTTTATCCTCTATTGAAAAGGTATACCTTGCTCCATTCAACTTGTGAATCTCTCATTAAAAGTGCACTCACGACCTCTCTCTCTCCCTCTCTCTCTCTCTCTCTCTCTCTCTATCTATCTATCTATCTATCTTACTATCTATCTATCTATCTATCTATCCTGTTCTTCTTCCCTTGCTACCTCTTCTTGTCTCATCTACGTACCCTCTACCAACTTCTGAAACTCTGACATAGAATTTAACATGTCTGAGATCATATTTGTAAGATATTTTGATAACATTCTGGAGGAACAAGCCTCATGACGGAGTATATTATTTAAATATGGTCACTAACTTCGCAGCAAAGCTAAATGATTCTAGGGCGTACAATATTGGACTTAGTCTATATCCGACCTCTCTTCGCCCCCTTCTCACAACAACCCCCAATCCCTGGGCCTAAAACCTGAAATTTCTGAGGGCTTTCGATTGTCTTAGGATGGTTCGGAGTCTTCTGAAAAAATCAGTATATGGCCTCTCAAGGCTCATTCTTGCTCAGAATCATCGACTACCCAAAATGACACCTAACGAGAAGCATGACTATCAATCCAACGGACGACCGCATTGGCTTAACAAGAAAGCAGAGAAGGGAGGAAAGCGTAAGCAAAGCGAGAAGGAAAACTTACGCCTTTGTAGCGGCATAGACGGAGAACGCATACGACGGAGCCACCACCACTGACCTGGAGCTGACGTTGATGATGGTCCCTCGCCCTCGTCGAAGCAACCCCGGCAGTACTGCGCGCAAGACCTCCATCATGCCTACTAAATTCACCTTCAAGATGCTCCTCATCATTGTCTCATCCATCTCATAGAAGTAAAAAGCAGCGAGATTTGCTACCCCAGCGTTATTCACCAGAATCCCGACATCAATGTCTCTGATTACTCTTTCATAACGTCCAATATCTTTCTTGTGGTCGCTGTCCTCAGATCGGCAGTTTGCACCTCGGCCTGGATTGGCGCATTTTTTTCTCGGGGAAGTAAGTGGTCGACGAGGACAAGGTTGAGGTCTCGCCACGACAGTTTGAAGGCGTTGAGTCTTGCCCATGCAGTCGGTGGGACCGGTGACGATCGCCCATCGGCCATACTCCAGCAGGTTCTTGGTGGGGCGGAGAAAGTAAGTGTAGACCCATCGGAGGAGGAAAAGGAGAATATTAGGGCATGAAGGTGCCCACGGATGAACAAAGGAGAATCCCGATGGTTGAGATGCCAGGGTTTCCAGTAAGGAGAGCCCCATCGTCTTCCCTGCTACGATGTCAACTAATGTTCTGAGAGCCCGCACTTACCCAGCCAGAGTTGGATCGATGACAATCCTGACGTCCACTGACAGACGGACCAATATAAATGCAAAGGGACAGGGTAAGGATTAAAGGCAGAATTCGGCAAATAGAGAGCGAGAAAGAAACTAGGGTAGGGAGTGAACAGTTGAACGCGTGTTACAGAGATGTCCACGCCGGGTCCTTCGACCTTCATTTCGTTTGAGATTCGGCTGAGCTTGTCGGGATTCCGGCCGACGAGGACGAGACTTCAATTTTCGGTTTGTATATGAAAATGGTGAGCTCTAGCTTACGAGGTCTAACCCGAGCCTTGGCAAGCCCAGTCTAGTCCAAGCTAAACTTTAGTTAGTAATTTCTTGAATAATTTCAGCTTAGGCTGTGCTTAGTTTCCTGCAGGAGAGATACTACTACTACATAAATGTAACGGGGAACACATATACCCCGCCCTTACTGTCCTTGTCATTGCCCTTCACCTGGACACTGGCCATGTAATTTACTTTCCTGTTTCCCTCCCATTACATATGAGGCAGCCGGCCCTGCGTCATGATAATTACTCCTACGTCTTGGCTCACATCTTAATCGATGGATTGGGATTTTCGGCTGCTCTTCATCAGTTTTTAATTTCTCTCCCAAGGCTTATATTTTATTTTACTGAGGTTAGGTTTATCTCTTAACGCAACATACATATTTAAACCTCTTTTCCAATATGTGTTCGCTCATTCTTCTGATTTTGTTTCTCCCTGTTAGATATAGCCCATTAGAGGGCTTTGTGCACCGGATCCCATTAGGGACATTAGTCCCACTTGCTAACATTAGGGACATTAGTCCTACATTGGTTACATTTCTGTTTCTCTCTCTTTCTCTTCTATAAATAGAGGCTTGTAATCTCTTCTTGAATACAATTTTTGGCTTTGCCGTTCACACTGCCTTTGTTATTTCGACTCATCCAAAGCTACTGAGTTATGTTTGTAGATATTTCACTTCCAGGCATATTATTAACCATTTCTGCACGAAACCTATGATTGTTTTATTTGTTTGAAAGAGAGTGAAAAGGGATATAAATTATTTTTCTAGGGCATAGTCTGAGAGTGTGATGACTAATTAACCCCATTTGAAGACACTGCTGTAGAGAAGACAAGTCAAGTCTGGGGATATTAGTGAATAGTACTTTTCCGAAGTTTACATATAAAAGGGGAGAGGGGAACAAGATAGAGAAAGAGAGACTTACTTGAGAGTGACAAATCATTTCAGAAAATAGGACCCCAGAATATTATTATATAAATATACTAGATACAGATAGATCAACCATGAGAGGGAATATTACACATCCAAATAGATTTGATAATTTGTGCGAAACTAGGGAATTAATGTTTTAACGGAGATGGCTATGCAAGTATATTACCGCAAAAATGCATTCTGAATTAGCGTTTTGAGTTCTTTTAGACCAATTGTAGAACGAACTGAATAAAGAAAACATATGCGTTACATATGAATACTAGTTGCAGCTCTTAGTACTATTACCACTTATTGGGTTAGTGACGATACATATGATTAATGTCGCACCTGTTGTACTCTCTCTCTTTCTCTCTCTTGCTCTCTCTCTTTGCGTGTTTGTGTGTGGGTTTCTATATTTAATTAGCAAATAAATTAGCAGTTCTAATCCAGGTTATCACTTTTATTGTTGATCCATAAAGATCGATCTAAAATGCTATCAGCGGAGTAGAAAGCCATCTAGCATAAAATTTATTTTCCCATTATTAAAATATCTGTAGCTTCAATTCTTGGTTCTGACTGGCTTTCTAACTGAAAGTAATTTGGTTGTGATTGTTGAACGAGACCTTACCATATCTCAAATTATCATCCTCATAGTGAAACCTATGCTCCTCTACATACAGTCATAATACATTTCTTCTCAATCAAACACGACACCCATGTTCATATTGACAGGAAATTCAGGTATGCAAAGTCTCATGCGTCTCCGAGATTTCATCACTCTCCTAATCGCTCCCAAGATCAATCACAAGATAGAAGCATTAACAGTCAATGCTTTTTTTGACATCAGGGGAGAGAAGTACACACATCCACGTCAGCTGGAATCCTTTTGCCGCCTTCTACTGAGACCATAAGCGAGTCGCCATTTATTCATAAGACGATCTGGGATTAGTTTGACACCACAAGATTGGAGGGTATGAGGCCAGTACGGCATGCACTGTGGTTCATAACCGAAACGTGTCACGGCAGGGCGAGCAAACTCCGTTGGCGATGGCGTAAAGAAAGAAGCTTTCTTGAATGACACCATGTTTGTTGCAACATACAAGGGAATCTGAAAGGCACAAGAAAACAAGATTAAGTGATAGTAAATGGTGTTCATGAAGCCAGAAATTTCCTTCACATTAATACAGATGGACTACAGAAACCATAAACAAAATAAAAGGTTATAGCGTTTGAGCAAAAGGGCTTAGAATCTAGTTTCCTTACACATGTCAATCATCTATTTTGATATCTGACTGTAAAACGGGAGTATTACACATAGATAATCTAGTTTAGTTTAGTCATCCGCTTTTAATTTATAAGATAATTTATCTCTAAGAAGCTATGAGATTTTAAAAGAACCCGGGTCAGTTGGCCTTGATTTTAAAAGCTCTGAGAAGAAATTACGACAACCTGGCATTGAACATCGATCCCACTCTTCTTATACTCGATGTGCAGACTTCTGGAGATACTATGAACATACCTAATGAGATTTCAAGGAAACAGTGTTAGCATAGCTGACGGAATTGAGAATTTTCTAAGAGCAAGATAATATTGGCTTAATAATTCGGTAGCACTAGTCTTGAAACGGGCATTATAAAATGAACTATTTGGCTGTATTTAGAAAGTTTCACGAAGAACAACATTGACCACAAGAATGTGATCTTAATTTATTTAGTGTCGTACGATCATCATGAAAACCCAAATATTTCAGAAAAAAATGAGGATTTATAATTTCATGAAAGACGAAACACTTACGCCTTGGTGGCGGCATATACTGAGAAGAGTGGGTGGGAAGGGATGACCATCGCTGACCCGGAGCCAATGTTGACAACAGCTCCCCTCTTCCTGAACAGCATCGCCGGCAGCACTACCGAGGTGACCGCCGTAAGCCCCTCCAAATTGACCTTCAAGATCCTCATCCACACCTCCAAGTCCTCATGAAAGAAGGTGCCGTGGTCGTAGGTCAACCCCGCGTTGTTCACAAGCACTCCCACGTCGAGGCCCCTGATTGCGCTTTCCAGTCGTCGAATTCCCCCGGAGAGGTCACCGGTGAAGTCAACGACTACGGTCTCCACCACAACCGTGGGTGTTTCGTCCTGAATTGCACCAGCGACTTGGGTGAGTTTGTCTGAGTTCCGGCCGACGAGAACGAGGTTGAGGCCTCGCCGGGCAAGCTCGAAGGCGAGGGCCTTGCCGATGCCGTCGGTAGAGCCGGTGACGAGCGCCCACTGGCCGTAGTCGAGGAGATTCTTTGAGGGGCGGAGGAAGACGACGCAGAGCCAGTGGAGGAAGGAAAAGGAGAATTTTATCGTAACGGCGGCGCCAACCGATGAGATGAGGAGAACCCATGAAGGTTGAGACCTCAGTGTCTCTGTGAAAAATAGCTCCATCGTCTCTCCACCTGAAATGTCTCAAAATTTCTAAGATTCCTAGCGAGAGAGAGAGAGAGAGAGAGAGAGAGAGAGAGAGAGGAAGCAAGGGAGAAAGGGAATTAGGGTTAGAAATGTAGGAAGAGAGAGACCGGGGTTAGGAAAGTGAGCGGGGATGAAGAGAACGGGGTCAGGGAGGAAGATAGAGAGACTAGGGCCAAAGGGGGAGGGACAGAAGAGACGTGGGATAAGATAGAGCACAGAGAAAAACAGAGAGAGAGCGAGGAAGAAGGGGGAAGAAGATGAGAAAGAGGGCTGTGAGAAAGTAGATCTGCAGGGAAGGAAGAGAGCCGGAGAGCACCGAGAGGGAAACAGAAAGAGAGAGACACATGATACAATGGGAGGTAAAACGGGCTCCTTGAGACTAACGCATACCTGGCCTTTGGAACACGTTTTAACCGTCCCGTCAGAAAAATTTTACGGCACTTTTTCGCGGGCAGTTGTACGCCCCATCAACGAGTTCACGAACATCCATATTCTCACCCATAATCTGTTCAAAGTATACCCCTGTTATCTCCCTAGATTCCACTCCTGAGTATGCAGATACCCCCTTCCCCTCCCTTATCATCCCTCAGGGAAGAATCTCGCGCCACATCGTCTCCCTTCGAACTCGGGTAAAGCCCTCTTACGGTTCTGGCAGCGCTGTTCTTAGAGGCATTCTATATCTTCCATAGGGATCCGATCGGCAGTACTTTGATGGGGCCTGCCTCTCATCAATGAACCTACCCATCCCCCGTCAGATTGCATTAATATGGGCATTCAGTTCCCATTGCTCAGCTGGGATATTATCTCTCGTACTCAATTACAGGGAAGGACTAATTGACACTAGGAATTGAATGCGCCTTCAACTGTTCTCTCTCTTCCTCTTCCCTGAAGCCAGAGGTAATTTTGAGATCCCCACCAAACGCAATATCACATTACCAGTGCCATTACCTTATTCATGTCAATCTGATTATGGATATCGTATTATGTATACGATATAAATGGATGGGAATGACAATCAATTCAAGTCTAAAAGTTTAGTCGCCAGAATTTGAAGTCTTTGATAGGCAGTGCTATTGACCTTGTAGTTATGGGTGTTTACTTCACCCTGGGGGCCCGAAGCTCGGGCCAGCACCGTTTCCTGGCTTGGACTTTAAAATAGACCCAAAAATATGATTCCGCTCATGAACCGTCCTCGGCCACACTACTACCTCCTTCCAAATCTCTCTCTTTTTGCCCCATATTTGGATCAGTTAAGGTCCTTCCCAAAAGCACACAAAGCCCATTAAGCTTCTCTCTCTCTCTCTCTCTCTCTCTCTCTCTCTCTCGCTATATATATATTTGTCTATCTCTCCAGAATGATTTCTAAGGATGCTAAAAGAGTATAGCTATTGGAAATATTTGAGTAAAACCATACAGAGTTGACTAATTAAGAGGATCATGAGTTGACAATAGTTGACTTTTTAATCTACCAAAACCCTAATGTGCATGAAAGAAAATCTCTAACCAATCCAGATCACCTTATGACACATAGGAGATTGATAGACAGGTCAAAGAGAACCCTAATATTCTCCCATCTGTTATCTTAATCCTCTCTCCATTCCTCTCAACCCTAAAACCATTGTCAACCTTGATACATCAAGCGGCACTAAATCAAATGAGAAAGGGATGAAATTATAATATATTCTACTCAATATATAATTCTTCTTTCACTCAATCTCAAGTGAGATCAATCTTGACTAGTCAAAAGATCCACAAAATTTGAGAGAATGAGAGGGAATAGATAGAGATGAATCAAACCTAAGGGTCAATTCTAGTGTCACTCTAGGAGATCTCTAAATCCAACTCCTACCTACTCTCTAAGAAGATTTAATAGTGTCTCACTGAAATGATAACTAAAGGAGGGAAAATAAGAAAAGAAACATGATTTTTAAAAAAAACATAAAAAATATAGAAATTCTTATTTCACTCAATCTCAAGTGAGATCAATCTTGACTAGTCAAAAGATCCACAAAATTTGAGAGAATGAGAGGGAATAGATAGAGATGAATCAAACCTAAGGGTCAATTCTAGTGTCATCCTAGGAGATCTCTAAATCCAACTCCTACCTACTCTCTAAGAAGATTTAACAGTGTCTCACTGAAATGATAACTAAAGGAGGGAAAATAAGAAAAGAAACATGATTCTTTTAAAAAACATAAAAAATATATAAACTAACGATAAAAAAACTCTGCTACAATACATTTTTTGTTGACCCTTGGAGTGCTTTAAGGGGATATTTCCTCAAGAGTTATTATACTTATTCCTCTTCTTTTTCAATTGACTCCTTTCTCAAGTAATAAATGTCCTTGCTCTCTCCTTTGAGCTTTTATACACCTCCTCTAAGCTTCAATCTCTACTCCTTAGAAACTCGTCAAGCATGCACAATCTCAAGATCTCCCACCACCACTTGGAAGACCAAGAGGTGGGAGAGAGAGAGAAGAAATTAAGCAATTAATATTTCGCTGTTGAAGATCAAGAGTTGATTTTTTGAGATTCAAGTATAGAATGTAGAAAATTATGAGAAAATAGAAAATCTTTAAAAGCTTGTTAAATATTTATTTACATTTGAATAAATTTAAAAAATTCATGAAAACTCATAAAAATCCTCAAAAATAAGACTTACCCTAAACATAATAATGATTCAATATGTTGCAAGTAAAATTCTATTGTTGGATGATCACTGATAAGAATCAAGGATATAATGATTTTTCATATTCATGAGATTGTTCTTAGTTTGACCTATGCTACCTTTAGGATCCATATGAACTGATTTTTTTATTCTTTTTTGTTGGACAAACTGTCTGAAAGGGTTTCCAATCTTGGATGTAAAGACCTTCTAACATGGATAAAAATAATTGTTTTAGAAAATTTAAGAATAGGTTACCCCTCTTCTTCAATCTCACGTTCTCTTTTTTTTTTTGTAAGAGAAAAATAGAAATAAAATTAGAATTTTTTGTGTACTTTAAGATAGAAATAGAAAAAGAGTAATATTACGTAATACATTCCCAAACTATACTATCAAAATTTGACATGACTTAGTCATTGTCGCAAAAATTTAATATTTATAAAATTAGAAAACACCAATTTTTTAGATTTTTTGAATTATTTCTATAACAATATGTTAATTATAATTTGATAAAAACTATAATGACAATTTTCTAAATTAATCATAGGGATGCGTAATCCTATCATGGAAAATTTTAATTTTTTTTCAAAGAATATGTTTTTATCTAATTTTCAAAGTAAATTATCATAATAAAATTATTTTAAAATTATAGAACAAGGAAAATTCAGGTGCTGATGTTAGGTTGATGTCTATGTCCAAAGAACAACAATTTGGAAAAAAATAATTATGTGTGGTGATTATTGTGTAAACAATTGTAGACAATTTGATTGGTGAAATATCAAATGAATTGCAATAGATTAAAGAATAGTACTGAAACTTAAATTCACACAACATGGAAATTAGAGTTCTGATGTCACAAAAATAATCACAAGAATTCTTAAATTTAGAAGGATTCTGAGGAGTCTATGGCCTTGAAGGTTCTCCTTGGGCTTGCATAGCATGCGTGCTCTCTATATTCTTATGCAAAGTTGAAAGGGTAAAGAACAACATTAGTAAAATATCTTTGGTGGTTGTCACCTTATAGGATGGAAGTTCAGTGAAAATGAGTCATTGGTGACTATCACAAGATAAAGAGATGATGAGTAAATGTGGTGAATGACTCAAGGAGCTTTTTCCTGAAGTCAATGCAATAGGAGGATGCTCTTATTGTATTTCAATCACTTTGAAGAAATCATGACAAGTCTCTTGGTGGATTCCCTTGCCCTCAACAACAACTTATTTATCAATCAATTTAGAATAATTTGTTCTAAGTTTGTGATTTTTTTAATATGTAATCCCTAGTTAGTTGTTAATGACAATCTTTGATTACCGTTGAGATAGTTTTGTTGACAATCTATCATCTCTAGTGACTATTCCATTGACCATTTGTTTTTGAAAGAATCAAGAACTCAAAACAAAAGAAAACTATAATTTTTTGGTGTAGTGAGATTCAAACTTCTGTCAATCACTTGGCTGCATAAGTGAAGCTCAACTGATCATTATAATACCCTTTTGTATTATGATAATGGCTAGGACCACTTGGGATGGAGGCAATTCAATCATCTAGGCTACATTTTGTATTGTTGAGTTCCTTCTCTCAAAAACAAAATGGCCAAAACCACTTGGGGAGAAGGCTATACCAAGTGATTTGCCCTCATACAACATGTGTGATGAGATCTTGCCCCACATAATAGTTCAGCGTTGACAATGTGGAAGAAGTGTGACACATGCGTGTTTGTGGGTCTTGACCCATTAGAGCTTCACTTGTGATTCCCCTCATGTGTCCACCCACTCAAGCATGACGTTCTTTTGTAGATCAACTACTGAGTGCCAACTAGTTATTCCATCCTTTTTGAATATTTATTTTTTAAGTTTATTTTACCTCATTTTAACTTGAAAACATAATATAAAAATCATATAAACTCGCATAATCAACCATAAATTCATATTAGTCATGTAACAATTATTTTATAAAGCAATTTATCATAAGTAAATACATAAAATATATCATTAAACTAATTATTAATTCATGATAACACTATCATTGCCAAACAAATGGGAAAATAAAAGTTGCCAACCAATGTTTAAAAACATATTTACAATATTTTGCATTAGATCATTTGTGAAGTTTGTTTTGTTGGATTCCATGGGCCAAATACTTATATAATATCATGTATCACTCAGCCACTAGCTTTACTCACTATTCGATTGTTTATGACCATAATCATTTTCTTTTTGTTTGATTCAAGATGCACTAGACACTTGTGGTTTATGTCAATAGCAACCCAAGAAAGAGGTTCAATCCTAAACTAAGGTATCACTTGAACCAGAT